ATTGTGCTCAAATGGAACCTGTATATAGATCAAGGGGCAATTGTTCAAACAGAACAAGGGAACCCCAAATGGTTTAAATTAGGGAAGATGTGCATCAGGGTTGTATTCTTTCACCATTCTTATTCAATCTGTATACTGAGCAAATAATTCAAGAAGCTGGATTATATGAAGAAAGACATGGCATCAGGATTGGAGGAAGATTCACTGATGAAGATCAAAGGTCACAGCCGTTGGTATGGTTAAACCTCAATGTAAAGAAAACAAAAATTCTCACCACTGGACCAATAAACAACATTCTTATCAATGGAGAAAAGATTGACGTTATCAAAAACTTCATTTTGCTCAGATCAACCATCAATGCTCATGGAAGCAGCAATCAAGAAATCAAATGATGTATTATGTTAGACAAATCTGCTGCACAAGACCTTTCTAAAGTGTTGAAGAGCAAAGATGTCAGCTTGAGGACTAAGTTGTGCCTGACCCAAATCATGGTATTTTCAATAACTTCATATGCATGTGAAAGTTGGACAATAAGTAAAAAGACCATAGAAGATTTGATATATTTGAGCTATGGAGTTGGAGGAGAATATTAAAAGTACCATGGACTGCCAAAAGTATAAACCAATCTGTGTTGGAAGAAATACAGCCAGAGTGCTCCCTGGAAGCCAGGATGGCCAGACTTCGTCTCTTGCTGGTGTCAGCATATGCAGACCCTGGGTTGATCAGTGGCCCTGTGACATGGACGAAAATCCAATTCCAGAGCCCTCCTCAGGATAGTGAGCCATGGACCCTGAGGGCCAAAGGAAGTGACCTCCTGACGTCCCGGGTTCATTAGTTTTTGTGAACTCACTGGTTGGCTACCTCTGTATAATTTTCTTTGGTCCTAATATTGTTCATTCTACGCTTCTAACTCCAGTAATTGTAGCTTCTGAGAAAATGGTTTCTTTTACAATGCCTCTCTTAATGCCTTCACTGTGTTGGCAGTGCGTGGAGTCCTGGGAACAAATCTTTCTGAGGAACAAGCGATAGCCACCTGGGATGAGTGTCAGAACTGCTCCTTATTTGGTTATTCAGTTATGTATGTTTGATATTAA